AATTAACAGGCTCCTTGCATATTAAGATAGCCTCGGGGAGATATAAAGGGGATGGACGGCATGTATGCGGTCAACACAAAAGATCCACTGTACGTTGCAATGGGAAGCATGGTGTGAATATTAATGCCACTCTGAGAATTCCCCGTCGGGTTAGTTGCAGGGTTAGGGGAGAGAAAGCTAATTTATTTACCTTTAAAGTAAGAATCACTGGACATGCAGCTCGCATAATCCAGAGCTGCTGATTTTGTCCAGTCGTAAAGTGTGATGTCAATGAGGGATCAAAGGTTATTAAAGATAAAACGGTGCTTAATTTATTTCGTGCTTAGAAACGCCGCCATTTATTTAAACATTTAATAATTAGGCTTTTTACACGTAAAAATAAATCATTTTTAATTATTTCCACCCCCCTTCTACAGTAGTTTCAAAGGGATGAAACAATCAATAGGACTTGTACATTTTATAAATTTAACTATTCCATTTTAAATTAATGTCACTTATAACTGCTCTAATTTACATAAGGACAAGAACCTTTTCTGCTTTTTTTTTGTTTCCATTATTTCTTATTTTTATAGACTATAAAAATTTTTGTACATATCTCATGACAAAGAACCATTTTCCTGTCTTCTTTTGTAGGCAAAATTTTTTTCATTTCGCATGACTTGTATTTGAACTTTCACTTGTAGGTTTGGTAGAAAATAAATCATTTCTTGTAATGCTATTTATGCCAGCACACCTATAAATTTATAAAGAACGATCAGTTTAAACAGGTTAACCTGTATTTAGACTACTTTAAAAAAGAATCTATTATAGGGTAACTTGAATCACACAGATTTTTAATGAGTAAAAAAAAATAATGATAATAATTTATGGACATTTCAGTTTAAATAAATGTAATTTTTGATTTATTAAAATGAATTTTATTCTGACTTTTCGCGCTGTAATCAATTTTAAATCATTTTTCTGGGGGAGAGGACCATCGATAAATATTTACTGTGGATAAAAAGGCCACAATGGCATTATTCCCCGTAACATCCGAGTCCTTGGATTAATGCGAGAAAAACTTAAATAACTGCCTATTTAATTATAAATTTGACAAGTTGGATTTTAATAATCCGTGTGAGGTTGAGATCCAGTTTAGGCCTCAAGAAACGGAATGCCTATGCATCACTTTATGCCCAAATCACGCACGCCGTTCTTCACTCGAGGCCTTCTGACTCAAATCATTCGGTGTTGTTGATAAACATTGAGATTCCATTGCATTAACAACTTCTTTGTTTCGGAGGAAGAAACGGCGGCGGTGGTCAGTTGCTGCGGTTCAACGAATTAAGTTTAATCAGAGAGACTCTGCCGATGGCAAGACGAGACTGTTTTATTAACCAGAAGATGTTCTCCCATCACCTCTATTAACCTCGACGAGACGGGGGTGGCCAGGTAGCCGAGGCGGCGGGGGAGGTTGCTCCCGTATGCGACCCCGGACGTCACCTGTAAATCTTGGAAATTCTCCCTGTTCATCTGTTCAGCTCCCACGGTAACCGACGTCGAGACAACAGGGCCCGCCCACCACCTATTAGTTTTAGACGTACAAGTCGTTAAGCCTACTGGTTGTGAGAGGCAGTACTTAATGTCCATAGCTGCTGCGAATGGCCGGGGGCATGGACGGGGAATGTTTTACAAGCGAAATATAATTTGTATCTTGTCTGTCTGCCTCGTTTTGGCAGCGATGGAATTCCACCCTCGATTGCAGCAGACTCATGCGATTGACCAATTATGCACTCCGAAACGGCTTACAACTTGCATAATTTCGATACGAGCGCCGGCATCTTTTCTCCAAACACTTCATTCGATCATTTTTTTCTCCCTCCCCTCCTTTCTTAATGGAGAAAAGAAACGACATTCTCTGGAATTTAACTGTGCGTGTGTCGTCCATCTCATCACGTTTTATGATCAATCATATTTACAAAGGACAACTTAAAATTTGGAAAGGAAAAACTTATCCGTTTGGGTTTTATAATGTATTTTTTAAAAAACGAAATTTGAATAGAACTTGTTGTATAGCCGGTAAAACGAACCGAAAAGTGACATTCAAGATGGCGAAGTGGGTACCTCAACCATGTCCCGGGGCTAACCATTCACACAGCGGCCGCGAGGTTAAATACCTCCCTTATTAACAACAGGTTGAAGGAAAGTTGCTCGGACTGGCGTTGGTTTTATAGGCAAACCGCCACTTCAAATTTATAGCATAATAACCAACGCAACTGTCTCCATGATCCCTACCCATTTAAGCCTCGTCCTCCGGCCTGAAGTCCTTATCGTTGGAATGTACTCTTTCGGTCCACCCTTACCAAGCGTCACCTGCTCTTCGGGTCCCACCTGTTCCCCCAGGGAGAATTACCTAACGAATGATTCCGAAGCTCTTATATCAGTCAAATTGTGGAAGGAGTTGAAATTATCATCTAATCATTGAACTGGAACCAAAAAAAAAAACATTGGTATATTTCGATTTTCGGCCATGTTTACACCGCGATATTATCGGAATAATATCAATACTTATATTAATTCTCATGTTTTAGAAATAATTTTAAATTGAAATTTTTTAAAAATTATTTACACAGCCAACAATAAGAAATTCGAACACACAAGAAAAAGCAATTTACTTTCACTCCATTTGTCGCTCTTCTATAATCAAACTGGAACATTTATTGACGTGACAAGCCATCTGTCGACAAGAATCGAAACTAAGAATGAACTTTTTTTTTGGCTACGGACTCTACAGTTCTTTCCAGTCAGAAGGAAATAGAGATGAAGGGTTGATGGGAAGACCACACCCTTTAAAGTTATAAATAACCTCAATCAAGGCTGGATCTGATCGATGGTGCTAGTCGATAGGTGTCGCCACCTGCGCTCTAGGGACGATGTGACATCCTGGCGATCCGGTTCCACCCCGATCAAATAACAGCCAGGGGCGACATAGAGTGGTTCGACTTCTTCCCAAATCTGTCCGCCTACACCAGCCGCTTGTTTCCTCGTTCAGATGAGACAATGAACGATGCACTAGCCAAGTGTTGTGGATAGAAAAGGTTCCATTGGGGGGGGGAATTCATTATCGATCATCCTTGTGTTTGTTCCCCTTATATTTAAAACATAAACAATACCGAATTCACCAGAACGAGAGCGGAAATCTTTCGCTAGAGGTGTGGCTCCTACCGAAAAAAAAAAAAAAATGTATCCCTACACATGTCGAACTCTCAAATTTGCACCTCAAATTTTTATGTCAGAGGTACAGATAAGGTGTGGCCGACGGGCATATGAAACGCCCAAAATATTTAAAAATATTGATTCCAATATAAAATTGAATTCGATTTTTATTTAGAAGTCGTTAATAATATACCAAATTTCAAAGCCAAAGATAAGCATTTTCACGTTTTACATTTCCATTTAATGTTCACTCAATGCTCAATCATAGTAGTCAGTTTGCTACTTCGTGATCTTTTTCAGAAATAGGCGTATCTTGAAACATATCATTATAACAGAAGAAACTGAAATATAAGGCCTATATTATGTTGTCAAAGCATTTCTTTGATTTCTTTCTTTAAAGAGATCTTAAATTAAAAAAAAAAAGGAAAAGGAAAAAAATTAATGTCTTTGTCCTGTGCAATTGCACTTTTCTATAAGTTAGATACAATTTAAATGCATATAAATCAAAATTAGTAAATAAAATTGTTTCCTGTTGATAATGTTTAACCTTTTTTTTTCCTTTATTAAATAATTAAACATTACACGTTCATTTTTTAAAATAAGGAAGTATAGAGAGAAGTTTAATTACGTGTATACTTAATTAGGTAAATATAAATGATTTTTTTATATAATTTATTGAGAGATTTAACCTACGTTTCTATCAATACAAATGGGTCTGACTGATAATCGAATCAGATCAAGAGGCCAGCGTGTCAACACATCACAGCAATTGGCATGGAGTCACTTAATATCGTATCCCATTCCCTCTTCATCTTTAACTCCACCTATTCCTGACAAGTGCTTATCTAAGGTATAGAACGACATGTTAGGTTTAGTTGAAGTCGCTGCCATTAGTTATCTTGTCTTTAAAGTTTAATCTCGTTATATTAATGGACAATGCCTTTTTTTCCTTTTCTCCCCTTCTAAACTTGGCAAATATTAGCATTTGTAATCACTCAGCACGATATAATATTAATTGCTTGTTAATGAATTTTTAAAAAGTTGTAACGACATTCTCTCGTCAAAATATTTTTCGTACCCGGAAATACTTTGGAGAAAAGAAGGAAGTTTTGGGGCGAGGACCTGACATTTGGGCGCGAGGACAAACACAAGGTCGTCTATCCACCTGCTAGTCACAAGGCTATGCGAGGGTGGTCTACTACGTGAAGAATGCGTGACGTTTGTTCCTGCTTTCTTACCTACAACGTGCAACAGGTGACATTTTAAGAAATAAATAAATTAATTTCATACAAAAATAAGCTTTAAAACTATTTTAAAAAATTTAATATTATATAATATTATTATATAAGTCCAAGTTACACAAGTATAATATATAACCGTGTGTTATTTGCTGTAAAGTATCAGATATCAATTGCTTTTTAATTATATATATCACTAGTTGATAAACAGAAAATCAGCATCCCTCAACCGGTAAATCAGGGGATGAAATCAGGGGTGGGACGTAGTTTCCAGGTTTTTAAGAATGAAAAATTCGGTTCAGATCGGTCAAAAAGTTTAGAAGTGTTTGTATAGAACACAGACAGACGGACAGACATTCTATTTTATATGTTATTTAATTACATTTTACATTACTTTTTATCTTAATGAATGTGTATTTAATTTGTATTTAAATCAGTCAATTTTCATTTTATTATAAAATAAACTTTTATTAAACATAAAGAATTATCGAAAATATAGAAGAAAGGAAATTATAAAAGTAACTATAAATAATTTGCACTGAAAATAATAATACAAATGATGCAGGATAGAAAGCAATAACCTTATCTTCTTACACTTTATCCATATTCACCTGTGCAATATACTCGATTCCTTCATCTTCAATCTCTTCTCACTCTCGATTTGCATATATATTGGCACAAATAAATGTCGATGAATTACAATAATGCACGGCATCTAACTATTATTATCATATTAACTCTAGTATTTAATTTGAAAATTCCTAGTTTAAGTAGGGTCTTTCTTCATCGACACGCTTTATCCGTATAAAGATGTCAATATAGTTTAAACAGTAGAAAAAAAAATAAAAAAAAACAATCTTCAGAAGCTAACATTTTCTAATTTTCTATTAAAAAATAATTTATCTCATCAACTAATTTATTACTTAGGAGTTTTTAGTATTATTAGAACAGAAGGAGAAAACTTACCTTAATTAAATTGCCTTCAAATTCCTGCAAATATAAAAATAAATAAATAAATAAAGACGATAAAAATTAATTAAATGTAAAATTTACTTTAAAACATTCAAGATTTTATCAAATAAAAATACTTTCTTCGAAAATATTACACTAAAAATGGTTAATAACAATAGGCAAAGAGCGTGTTGATGTTTATTATAATTAAAATTAGATAGAGTAGAACGTTCTAATTAATTTCTTTTTTGCTAATTAGTTATAAATTTAAAGGTGAAAAATTATATTTTACGTACGATAATACAATTAATCTAGTATTTTAGTAGAAGGGAATTGAAATAAATTATTCAGAAGACATTTTCATAGAAACTATTCGCATAAAACTTTATTCTTAGAAAGCTGGCTTATAATATTTTACTCTTTCTAAATATTCCTGTCAAGCGGCTTATAATATTAACTTATACGTGATTATTTTATTTAAATATTATTATTATTATTATTTTCTTTTTAAATTTCGTCTGAAAGATTAGGACGAATACCTTAACTCTATACGATTTAGTAAGGATTCTTTGTGGTGGAAAAACAAGAAAAAAAAAAGTATTAAAAATGCTCCTGTACTTAATAACGTCCATTAAATATCTAACAGTCAAACCCCGATTTAACGCCGTCTTTTTTTGGCTTCTGAATCCGCTAAATTGAAGCGAAAACTATACGCAAATTCGAGCTCGAAATTTCACACGATTTGATGTCTTTTATAATACAAAATCGATAAATTTAATAATTCGAATATACCGAAGGATCCTCTGTTTAATATTTATGAGGAAGATTCGAGGGTGGCACTAATTAGAAGAACGCTATATCGGGGGATTGATTGTAATGTAAGGCATTCTTATAAGTTGACTTAAATTGTGGGCTTTGTTTGTTTGAAATTTGTAAAGTAATGGCACAAAGAATTGACCAAATTAGAAAAGAAACTGCATAAATTTTGTGTATAATAGAACAATAAACAATTCCCCACAATAATTAGAGGAACAAAAGGATCGTCAAAAGACATCATCATCATCAGTCGGATTCATGATGTCTTATTTAATTGAAATTTATTCTTTACAGTGTTTAACTAAATTTTAAGAGTTTTAATTATATAATTTGGTTTAAAATAAACCTGTATATCGAATATATTATGATTTGTTAATGATCATTTATACGATTTTACTATTATCAACTGAGTTTTAACGTCACCTTAAGCGATTATAGAGCAAAGAAAACAGTCATTTTCTTATTTNCCATACAATCGATTTTTCGGGCCTCAGACCGTAGCCCTGCGCTCTCAGGGGCCCTATTTATAAGAAAATTCGTTTCTGCAAATATTTTGAGGCCCCAATAATAAGTTTTTTTGGGTCCACCGCAAAATCACAAGTTTATACTTTAGGGCCTCACATTTTTCTACGTATTATTACTTGGTGAAGGAAAGAGTCTGTTATATATTACTATTAAATCTTCTAATGTGTTAAAAATATTAAAATTATTATTAAATTTTACAATATAACCCACATTAAACTCCTTCATAAAATTAATCTATTAATTATAAACGTGTAATTTTTAGTATCAATCCAACACTTTACAGTTCAAAAATACATTAAAAACTATAGAATTTTAAACTTAATTAATTGTAAATAATGATTATATTATACTCACATTCTGATTTATGTTCGTTCAAATTAAAATCAGCTCGTAGTCAAGTTTCAAGTGTAATTACATCTTTGTGTATGCTCGTTACTAAGCATCTCTTATTCACATCACGTGAGATAGACAACATTACTACAGTCTTCAACACATTTCTTTACATGTATTAATTTATTAAAGTGCGGAGAGCTGCACCATTATAGAATCGTTTCTATATATATATATTATATATAAATGTGATTTAATTTTAATAATATATTTATAATTTTCCCCCTTCTCTAATATTAAATAATAAGAAAAATTCAGGAAATTAAAGTAATGGATATTTTAGATATTGGATTCTTTCACAAAGCAATTTCATTAGAGTAGACCTTGAAAATGATAGCTTCAAGTTACTTTTCTATAGTACTCTCGATTATCCGGCGAACAAGAAGGATAATCCGGATAATATACAAACATGTTATCCTGATTTTGCTGCGGAAAATCATCTCTAAACATCACAGGGATGCTCGTTTACGCTCGAAATTCAGGATAAGCTTTTTTCTTTCTTTCTTTAATTTTCTAAAATATTCTGCATAAAAAAATACAAATATATATTTATGGATAGATGACACGTAAAACCGGATAATCCACTTCCAATTGTATTAATAAATTATAGGAAAAAATAAAATAAAATAAAACAAGTGCATGAAGCAAGACGAGAAGTTAAGTATTTTCGTTTGTTTAAATGCATTATAAATTTTATATCGAAAAGTTTGTGATTGATGGAGAAGAGGGAAGAGATCGAATGAAAAGAATGAATAAATATAGAAATGGAAAGTAAGAAGATTGATGTGGGATTTGCCATTCGCAAAGAGAATGCAAAGGATAGATAAATTGTACATTATAGGAGTAAAAAGAGAAAGTAAGATTGAGACCAAAGTTTCTTCCTAATAGAAAAGTTGGATTATAATTGCGTGGGAAGCATCTAATTTTCTCTATAGCTTCATTTATTTCGTAACATTCAGTGAAATCATTATACAATAAAAAATATATTCCGATATTTTTAAAGCTTGGGTGTCAGGAGTGGGGACCAAACGGGACACTTACTCTCCCCTGGGATCGAGTAATATATTCCACAAATTATAATCGTAACAGTGATTAAGGTATGTAATACCCTCCCATGGTATGCTTTTGTGAAGAAATCCCCCCAAAATTAAATAATTTACCTCCAAGTTTTGCCCTCTAGAAATTTTTCTGTGACGCCCATGGCTGTAAGACATGAACACTAGAAAAACGCATACCAAACGGAATTAGGTCTATAATTTTCTATAAGCATAATATGAAGGGAATTATTTATTCACAAGAAACTACAGTTTGAAGGAATTAAGGTTAATCAATGTAGCAGTACATCTAAGAGAAACAATACTAAAATGGCGTTAAAATGTAACTGCACGTAGGAGTATTTGAATCGGTATTCGGTGTCCCCCCGAGGAACTTCGTAGTTAGAAAAACAGGAAGCTTTGAACAAATATAAAGCGTACAAAATCAATATTTATAAGAAAAACGAATAAGTAAATCGAGAATGTACATAAAGAAAGATAATCTGTAATAATGATTTCCATTATAAATTTAAATGAAAGCTAAAAATGGAAGATGTTATACGTAAACAGAACACGTGCCTGCTTATAACAATAATAATATCGGTACACACTCTGCATAAAATATCTCAATATTAGAGTTATAAATAATACTTAATATAATAACTCAGTTTGGGCAGACAAACGGATGCATTTCTTTCATATAAATACATTCAAACCTGTGAACCACGGTTACTGACGAGCGCATAGGAAATGTCCGTTGTTCGGAGGTTATTTCGTATGCATTTCAGAAACAAATATTCCTGAAAAATGGCCGTCGTTTAGAGGTTTGACCATTATAATTTAAATACAATAGAGACAGGTGTTTTAAGTCTTAGAAATTCACACAATTTACCTTCCAATATAAAATAATGTTTAAAAAACAGTCGAATTTGATTATAAATTGAAGAAAAGTTATATTCGTATACCCAATGACGGAAAGATGTATAAAATTACCATTTACCATCAGTCCACGAAGGTCCATTTGTTTTTCTAAGTTTCAGGAAGGCTTTTCTCTTCCTGTCAGCCTTTCGATCCTTTTTAATAATGCACCACCAAATAAGGCAAAATAAACCTCCCAATACACCTAAATTTGCTGCCGTGATGAGTAAAACGATTCCACTTTCTTCTAGGCCCTCTGGTAACTTATAATATAATCCTATTATCAAGATGGCCGCTCCTACGCATATTCCTAGTATGGATATAGTAAGGATGCATGCCAATGTACACAAAACACGAAGTTTCCGCGGATCCTTCTTTCGTTTCTTATCCTTCATGTTCTGCCCCTGAGAAAGATATAATGATTTTTAAATTTTAATGGCCTAAAAATTAAATTTTTTAACTATATAAAATGTTTAAAAATTTGCATAAATTCCGCTTAAAATTACTATAGAGAGCGTAAAAAATTGTATATGTGTAACACAGGATTTGCGCATAAACTAAAGTTTAAGGCCTGGCGTTATAAGAGTCCATACAATCGATTTTTCGGGCCTCAGACCGTAGCCCTGCGCTCTCAGGGGCCCTATTTATAAGAAAATTCGTTTCTGCAAATATTTTGAGGCCCCAATAATAAGTTTTTTTGGGTCCACCGCAAAATCACAAGTTTATACTTTAGGGCCTCACATTTTTCTACGTATTATTACTTGGTGAAGGAAAGAGTCTGTTATATATTACTATTAAATCTTCTAATGTGTTAAAAATATTAAAATTATTATTAAATTTTACAATATAACCCACATTAAACTCCTTCATAAAATTAATCTATTAATTATAAACGTGTAATTTTTAGTATCAATCCAACACTTTACAGTTCAAAAATACATTAAAAACTATAGAATTTTAAACTTAATTAATTGTAAATAATGATTATATTATACTCACATTCTGATTTATGTTCGTTCAAATTAAAATCAGCTCGTAGTCAAGTTTCAAGTGTAATTACATCTTTGTGTATGCTCGTTACTAAGCATCTCTTATTCACATCACGTGAGATAGACAACATTACTACAGTCTTCAACACATTTCTTTACATCTATCAACACTCAAATTACGATAAAAACCTTTTAGAATTAATAAAATATCATCTTTAATTCTTAAAATAATATTTATTATATCATAATTACATATATAACAATACTTAAACACTAAACAAAGCCTTTAAGTTTATTGTTAGCAAGAGACTAGAGGCCCTCCCTCCGCCTTATAATAATGTAAAATACGTAATAAATTTTGTAAATTGAGTAAGGCCCCCTCCTATTACGAGGCCTTACGTCTAATTTCGCTTTATAAGACTTCAATAGTAATTTTTGTAATTAAAAAAAGGCCCTTCAATAAAGGTCATCCCTAAACGACAGTCATTGTTCGGAGGTTTGGGAATAAAATTTCCAAAATTGTAAATAATTAATTAAAGTGTTCTCAAATAAAAATTGTTTTTAGCTATAATTACTACATAATTTAACTTGTTTATATTGATTTTTTTAAGTTAAAAAATTGCGTGAGGACACGAATATCATTAATTTTCTGGAATATTGTTTCCTTCTTAATTACTTGTATTCGTGTCATTTATTCAATTATGTATAGGTTACATTCAATGAATATAAAGTATCTCGGATATAGGGCTGCATTTGCACATAAACCGAACAATTTGGGGCCTCGCATTATAAGTCCTTACATTATTTGGTGGAGGAGAAGGGACTGTTCTGTGCTTCACATTTTTATATTATTATTTGGTGGAGAGGAAGGACCTACTCTATACCTTAAGGCCTCACATTTTGGAGAGGAAGGATATGTTGTTATATGCCTCACATTTTTGTATATATTTGGTAGAGAGGAAGGGCCTGTTCTATTATAGCTTAAGGTCTCACATTTCTGTATGTACCATTATTTCGTGGAGGAGAAGGGCCTGTTATAGCTTAAGGCCTCACGTTTTTGTATATATCATTGCTTTGGTAGAGTGGAAAGGCCTGNATATAAATCAAAATTAGTAAATAAAATTGTTTCCTGTTGATAATGTTTAACCTTTTTTTTTCCTTTATTAAATAATTAAACATTACACGTTCATTTTTTAAAATAAGGAAGTATAGAGAGAAGTTTAATTACGTGTATACTTAATTAGGTAAATATAAATGATTTTTTTATATAATTTATTGAGAGATTTAACCTACGTTTCTATCAATACAAATGGGTCTGACTGATAATCGAATCAGATCAAGAGGCCAGCGTGTCAACACATCACAGCAATTGGCATGGAGTCACTTAATATCGTATCCCATTCCCTCTTCATCTTTAACTCCACCTATTCCTGACAAGTGCTTATCTAAGGTATAGAACGACATGTTAGGTTTAGTTGAAGTCGCTGCCATTAGTTATCTTGTCTTTAAAGTTTAATCTCGTTATATTAATGGACAATGCCTTTTTTTCCTTTTCTCCCCTTCTAAACTTGGCAAATATTAGCATTTGTAATCACTCAGCACGATATAATATTAATTGCTTGTTAATGAATTTTTAAAAAGTTGTAACGACATTCTCTCGTCAAAATATTTTTCGTACCCGGAAATACTTTGGAGAAAAGAAGGAAGTTTTGGGGCGAGGACCTGACATTTGGGCGCGAGGACAAACACAAGGTCGTCTATCCACCTGCTAGTCACAAGGCTATGCGAGGGTGGTCTACTACGTGAAGAATGCGTGACGTTTGTTCCTGCTTTCTTACCTACAACGTGCAACAGGTGACATTTTAAGAAATAAATAAATTAATTTCATACAAAAATAAGCTTTAAAACTATTTTAAAAAATTTAATATTATAATTTTAATATTTAAAAATATAATAATAATTGTTACATTTTTTAAACATTTTAGTACAGTAAAAAATACAAAAATGTCATTCAACATAAATACAGTATTTCCTCATACTTCGAATTTAATTCATTCCATGAGACCGTTCGAACTCCGAATCAATTTTTTTTTCTATTAGAAATAATGGAAAGCAAATTAACCCATTTCCAGACCCTAAACAATGCCCATTTCGATAAACTTCAAAAAGCAAATACACGTAATTTAAGGTAAAAATAACAATTAAATTAAAACACGCATTTTTTTTTTCACTGCACGTTCAACCTTTGAAGCATCGTTCGAAGTCTGAAGCGAATTTGGCATTCTAACTCTGAAGAGTTCGAAGTACAAGATACCAATTGATTAAGTCATTCCTATTAGATAGGACATAATTGCACATAATTAGTACTAAAGACTAATCAGTGAGGTAAATGTGCTATGTGTTAGATGAATTATGAAACATTTCTGTATTGAACATAACAAATAATCCTGAGCTACTTTATAGCATTGGGAGCCTTAACTTAGAGATATAATTCTGTTAAATAGCATACATTTTTGAAGAATTTATATATATATATATAAATTCTTCAAAAATGTATGCTATTAACAGATAAGACATATATATTAACAGCTAAGATATATAATTAACAGATAAGATATATAATATAGGTAAGATATATATATATATATCTATCTTACCTGTAATTAGGATCAAGTCAAAAACCATAAAGGCATTCATAACATGGTTCTCAATACAAATTCTTTATTATAACAAGTGGAAACCTTATTATGCAGTATTTACATGAACGCAATACGTATTACTACTTTTATATTAAATCAAATAACCTTTGTTACAATGCCTGCCCAACAGCCAGTGTGGGATTACACTAAAATACTACATATACTATGTAACATAGTGTAGGTTTACATACAATACCCTGTATCCATTATATTTTCATCACCCTGTATTCTGAACTAGTAACCATTAACTGGATTTTCCTTTAGCAGAGTAAGTGTACCCTAAAGTATAAGGTTTATACAAGGATCTAAAGAGGTAGTGATACTAAACAATATATACAAGAAAAATGGAATATGTCTTCATGTTATATAAAAGCATTTTATATAACATGAAGACATGTTATATAAAATGCTTAATATAATATATAAATAATAATGCTTAATAAAAAAGTTATATAACATGTTATATAAAAGCATTTTAGTGTCCAGTTGTATCATTTTTTAAAGACTTACAGCCTTGAAAAGGAAGTCATCTTATGTTTACATGCAAATGACCTAAAGTAATATGAAATTGTTAAAGACATGGGCTTTCACCAATCAATTTTATCTGGAGTGATTACTGCTGTGAACAATCACCACTCTGTAATTGATAAAAAAAAAAAAAGCAGGGGTCATCCACAAAACATCAGCTTGTGAAGACAGATGTTTAAGTAGACTTGTTAGTATAAACTGTTCTGAACATATATCAATAAACAATGGAATTTCAGTCCCGAATATGTAAAGGAAAATCTTTAATGACAGCTAAGCATCCACGAGATAGATACAACTAAGCACAAGACTGTGATGGACTAGTATCAGGTAATCTTCAGCAATGAGTAAATTAAATCATACTCATTGGAGATAGTAGGCCTGTTTAGAAAAAAGAGGAGGACAAAACTGAACCCACTTGCAGAGTATGCAGTGTGAAGTACCCTGCAGGTGTCATGGTTTGGGATTGCTTGATGACTTGAAAAATGATTATTTAGAATGGGAACTGTTATTCTGAGTACAAAGAAACAGTCGAGACTATTGATTAATAAAACTGATAGAACATCATTTTCAAAATGAAACATTATCTTCCAGCAGGATCTTGCCCATGCCATGTCTCAAAAGATAGTTTGCCAACCACTAGATATACGTTTTGTTATGGGCTACAAATTCTCCTGATTGCAACGTGATCAAGACTGTGTGGAAGCTTATGAAGCACATAGGAAGCAAAGTCAACCCACATCCAACAACAGTGAATACTCTGAAAAGCATTATTCAGCATGTTTAGGATGACTTTTCCATTGCAGATTGCCAAAAATTGTACAGCTTGATGCCAAAAAGATGTCTTGCAGTGTTACGTAACAAAGACTACCAAACCAAATACAAATTATGTAGAACAGTAAAACTTAAAACCTATTGTCTTGTGATTATGCAAACAATTCTGAAGAGTTTTCAGAATTGCATGTTTTTCTGAACAATGTCTGATGACAACATAACATGCTAATATTACTTTAACTCATATTACCATAATTTTTGCTGCTTTATTCAAATATGTAATTCTTTATTTTTCACGTGTTCAATAAATAACAACAAAAACAATGCGTTAAGTCATTTTTTGTTACTAAATTTCACATGATTAATTACTTAACTTGCTACCTTGCAAAGGTTTGTGAATGTAGTAGTATATTGCAAAAATTCTCATACCACATCACACTCAAGTTTAATCTGAATATAGCTATTTTCTATATTGGATCCTTAATAGAAGATTCCCTTTAAACTATTCTTACTTTGTGAAATATTTAAATGATTTCATAATTGCTTTTCTACATATCTGTATCTTTGTGTTTAAATTTTTCAAGTTACATGGATATCCAAACTACAAACAACACTACTAAAACCCGATACATTATATAACTAAAACCAACCACTGCCATATATTTCCAGGCTAAATAACAGCTATAGTATTAATAAATTACCAAACAATTTGATACTATAGGAAAGCATTTGGCATCTCCCTGCAGTATCAAATCTCTAAATAAATTTAATAAATATATCAAATTGTTTGGTAATTTATTAATATTACAGCTGTTATTTAGCCCAATAACATATGGCAATGGTTGGCTTTAGTTATCCAAGCTACTTAATCATTTCTAAAATTCCTCATTCAACAATTTAAACATACACATATATATCTGAATGTCCACACTTTAAAAGAATCTCATTTCTGAAAAATTTTATTTCAAGAACAAAATTTGTATACAAATATCTGCATTCTTTACATTGTAAAATGTCACTTTCTATAATCTTGTAAAAATTTTAAATCAATTTCATTAATTTTTATAAATAAAATTACAGAAATATATCATCGCTCAAGACCGATAAATATTAAAAAGTGTAAGCATAATCAACGTCTCTACTACAAAATTCCTGCTACTATTAGTAACGATCGAGATCTGTTAATTACAAACAAAGAAAAAATTTTGCATGTAAAATTATAAAATTTAATTGTATATAATGAATTTGGCAATGTTATAACAATTAGGCCTGATTCTCATTGCATGATATGGACAGAATATTGATAGCAAGAGTTCAGTTATTATGAAAACACTCCAATTTTTATTATTATATCAGCATCAAGTTCAAAATTCCTCCAGTTTCCATTTCAACTATTTAACATTGCCCATGATATCACTCAACAATAGCAGTACAGAGATGATTTCTGATGTATTATAGATATTACAGAGAAGATACAACCAAATTAATTAAATAATAACAAAAGATTAATTTAATAAAACTTATCTACAGAGTAAACAAATAAAAAGGTTGGTCAAAAAGTTAAGCAAGGAGTTTTGCCATGCCTGTTATTGCTCTGCTGCATCATGAGAAATATAATTTGAGCACTTGAGAGATGCTGTTGCAGTTGTTTGAACTAATTGAACTAAACAATGTTTCCAAAGAATAAATATATATAATTATATATAAATATCCTAAATCATTTTCTGCTTTCAGTAACTTTTCTTCTTTATATAATTTTTTGTTTTAAGCATTTCAGTTAGTGCAACATTTAATTTAAACAACAATAACAAGCCAAAACTATATTCAAAGTCAATCAGCCAAGCAGCTTACAGTACTTTGTATGTGTTTACTCAACTGGTACTTTTAAATTAAGTAATATATATTTTGAATTTTAAATAATTCTCGTATTATATTGAAAATTATTAATGATACTATTTTGAAATTCAAAATAAAACTACAGTTGTATTGTATTTATCAATAAAGAAATATTTTTTAATTAGTTCATTTTTAAAATTTATAATCAGAATTCACTAAAAATAGCAAATAGAAGGAAGAAGGAATATAGTTGAAATGATAAAACTGGAATAATAATATCACAGAGTTCTTTCCTAATAATTAATATTCATTTGAAAATTGGAAGAACCATTTTAGAGAGAACAAAGACAACTTTCATTAAATTTATGACTGCTTCAGTTTAAAAGTTTTTTGATATCCTACTTTCATTCTGTCATTGCTTAAATTAATCTAGCTAAAACTGAAATATTAAATTTCAATAACATATTTATTGACAAAACAAAAAACCTAATGATGTATTAAAGTTATAAATGGAAGAATACATGTTTGAAATAAAAAAAAAATTACAGAATTTTATCAAAACTTTCTTAAGAACTTTTTAATTAATTTTTGCTGTATAGCAGTGATTCTCAACCTTTTTTTCTTCACTGTACACTTTTAATAATTTAAAAATTTGGCGGCACACATGGTTACTTCAGTAAGTACCATAGGACAACTGGTGATGTCATAACTGATTTTTAAATGCAGTTGGTTATTTAGGTCACATTTTCTAAATGCTTTGGTAACTATTGGCAGTTACCAGTAATACAGATTACAATTTCCAATCGTGTCCTAGGAAGGTAGAACCAATTGAACTATTTGTCTGATGTCGCTTATGTATAGGTATTTGCAGTGCGGCACATTTCAAAAATCTCGTGGCACAGGGGTTGAGAATCACTGCTATATAGTAATGAACTGATCATCCTTTCTTGTCCTATTTTCAAATGATAAACTGCAAAATTGATGCAATTCTTAAATGATTGTTTTTGGCAAAAGTGTGTTCTAATTTGGTTCAGTGAGAATAGATTGTTGTTATAAATTTGGTAGTAAATCCCCATGTTATCCACTCAATACAATTAAAATCAGGCCTTAGTAAATATTTAAAAATGTAACAAAAAACTCAAGTTAGACTTCTTTTCTTTTAAACTTTCAATCCTTTGCTTTTCAAGAATGCTTCATCATTAGGCTCTCTTCCCAAGAAATCTCTCAGCATATCAATTGCATCCTAAAATTAAGAGAATGTTAAATTTATACAATTGTCTTATAAAGATAAGTTAATACTATACCTTTGTCCCACCAGGTGCTAAAATTTTATATCTGTAGTCTTTACCAGTCTGTGGATTCATGACACCTTCAGTTTTGAAACGGGTCATAAACATATCCATGCTATAAACTTCACTCCACTGTTATAAAAATAGAACAAAATTTAAAATATCAAATTGAATCTTTTTCATTGTTTATTAATGTAGTAATTTTTAAAATTACAATGTGTGTCATAATAATGTTCTAATTAAATACATAAAAGAGAGTTTTGTTAAGGGCTTGAAATTTAATAAAGTATTTTGTTTAATAATGAAATAACAACTATTCATCACTGAAGCAGGAAACTGACAAAACTGGAAATAAATATATAAAATTTTGTTGTTAAAGAAGAGGGATTCAGATTTTAAAAAATATCAAACTGAAGAGCCATTTGATTAGAATGAATGAGAGAGAAGAGAATGAAGATTCTAGTTATAAAAGGTTCTTTTTAACTTAAGAAAAGTAAATTTTAAACATTTTAACCAAAAGTTTTCCACTGTAAACAAGCAGTTATTTATTATGACATTGTCACAATGCCAGGCTGCAATTTTTAATCATAGTTTTAATTTATTTAATTTAAAATATATGTTCTCCACCTCAAATTAGTACTGTAGCATCTTTCTCCTTGTACATCATACTTTTCTGTTAGTAGGCTGGTCAACTATCTAACTCCTTTCAGAGGAAAAGTTTTGAATTGAAACAACATGACTTCCAGTATGCATTGAAAGTTCATATATAGTTAATTGGGACCTCCTGCCTTTATACTTTCTATATCTGGTCTTGGCTTTCATGTATTTAACTCTGTTCTCGATTTTAAGGAAGGATAGACAACAGACAGACGACAGTGAGAATTTACAGGTCTACAATTTTTCAAATTGCAGTCCAGTAACTGTTTAAGTTTCCCAAGGAAAACTTGGTCTGAAGTGGAAAGAACAGTTCTTACAATTTATTTCGAAACTTCTTTTTAATGATCTTTATAAACGAATTTCTAATTTCACTATCCAATTTTGAATAATCAAAGATAAATTTTCAATTTTATTGTAAAAACATTTACAGGAATATTGAATAAACTTACAAAAATAAGAAATATTTTAGAAATTTATGAAATACATTAACATTAATTGAATCTAAAATTTAAATGAATAAAAATATACATAGATTTACTTTATGTATAAAAAATCATATAAAACTTACTAAATAGCCATAATACTGTGCATCATATCCACCAGTCAGATGTGCAAAATGAGCAGCAAAGTTTGTTCCTTCAGTTGGAGGAACATCAAGAAGTGAGCAACTCAAATCATGAAAAATCTGTCTTGTATCAGCCTGGTGAGGATAAAAATCTTCAGTTATGCTGACAAACTTTGTAATAACATTAGTAAAATTTGTATCTTACTTTTGGACCAGTATGAATTTTATGATCAAGCAATCCTAAAGTTATCTGACGCAAGTTAAAATAACCAACATTAGCTAAACGTGAATGTATGAGAGACTGTAGAATATCATTTGGTAAAGGGCTTCCATCTTTATAATGTCCAGACATTCGTCGTAAAGTTTCTGGTTCCCAGCACCAATTTTCAAGCATTTGCGAAGGAGCTTCTACAAAATCACGTTCTACTTTCGTTCCACTACCAAAATAGTCAAACTTTAATTTTCATTTAAAGTAAAAATAATAATAAATACTACTTCAAACATTGTTACCTAAAATGTGATATGTTTACCACTGCACAAAGCTGATGCATTATGTGACCGAATTCATGGAAAAATGTTTCAACCTGGTATTTAGAAAAAAGCAAGCAACATTTCAGTAAAACTATTATTTATATATAAGATGTCTCAAAAGTAAGAAACAATCTTTTATAACTCAATAACAAATTACATTAAGAAATTAAATTAGCCATTTGAAAGTACACAGATTAAGCTATTTTTCTACATAGCCACCATTCTTTTATGACCACTTTTCCCAGTGGGAGAAAAGGAAAAAATTTTTCACTTAAAGATTTGAAAAAGTTCATGAAGTTCATCATCATCTGAAAACTTAAGAGGTTCTTTGTTAACTTAAAAGGTCATCACTTAAGAGGTTTAAAATGATAAAAATCAGAGGGTGCTAAGTCCAGACTATGCACAACATGGTAAACCTTCTACACAATAATGCAATTCTCCACATTGCATGTCAGATTTCAGACTGACTAAAAAAGTATGAATGGGAAGTTATGGACCATCCTGAGCATAATCTGGACTTAGCACCCTCTGAAATTTACTTTTTTTGGATCTATTAAGAAACATCTTGGTGGCTTACACTTCTTAGATGATGATGAAGTTAAAGATGTATTCATGAAATTTTTTCAGCAAGGAATTTTTGCCTTTTCTCCTGTAGGAAAAGTGTTTAGAAAAGAATGGCAAAATACCTTAGACCATGTACTTTAAAATGGCTAATTTAATTTTTTAATGTAATTTGTTATTAAGAAGTTATAAAAAATTGTACCTTACTTTGGGACATGTTTTGTACATACAACATTAAAGCAGGAAAATTTAATTATTATTTACTTCATTATGATCCAATAAAGATGGATTCTCTTCAGTTGGTTTAGTAAAATTTGCTAACATTACTACTACAGCAACTTGTCTGCTTCCATCATCTAGTAAACATCCAGGCTAGTAAAAAAAAAAATAATTATACATATCTGTATGTTATAAATAGCTTAAAATTCAAATGCAGTATGAAAATATTATTACTTGCAATGGAGCCACACAGGCATGAGGATATTTTCCTTCTCTTGGAAATAAATCTAAGAAAAAGTAACCTAGCAAGTTTTTGTTTTCAGCATCAATCACACTAAACTAAAAAAAAAATTATGATATTAAATTTATTATAATGTCCAATAAAGTGGGGAGATGATAAAAACATCATTCAATATTTCCCTTCTATTAACATAAATATCACATAAGCAGATTTAAACATCCTTCATTAAGTACAAAAATTCATAGTAGAGAGATTGCATCTGTTGAATTTGGGTCTGCTGAAGTGCAAAATATAATTTTAGCAAGTTCTTCCAAAAATTGTACATCATCAGATTTATGAAATAGTTGAACACAATTTTAATTTGGTAACATGGTAACAAAGTTTTTAATAAATAATACACAAGTTTTGGTGTATGTTATTACATAACAATGTTCTTCATGTTCTTTTAAACTTTTTAAAATTACGCATGCTGGGATAATATGTATGTTCTGCTTTATTGTATGACATAAAAATATCAATACTAAAACTAATTAAAACCAAACTTAGAAATATTTACAATTTGTTTACACAGAAAAATGAAAATATTTTGAACATTCAGAATAAAGAGATTAATTTTTAAATATATTGTCTAAATTGCATAGCCATGTTTCTATAATTTTTTATCATGAATGTGATATGATGATTCTTGGTTATTTTTATAATTTAAATTATAAAGTCAAATTATTTCATTACCTGTTTCTCTGACACTTCATTAAGAATTCTTATAGCATACATATTTTTAATAATCTTATCCCCAAAGAATAATTTATATGCTTTCATAAATCAACAGAGAAACCAATTTAATCTATCCAAAGGTAGTTGAGTTATAGTTGTTACATGAAATTTCTAGACAAATATATAATTTACTCCCAGCATTAATTTTTATTTAAAAAAATTAATTTCATTATTAATAATTAAGATAAAATCTTTTTTTAAATCTTATTTAATTCATGCACTTTTGTATATCAATTAACTCTTTCTTTGTTTCAATTTTTAAATTATTTAGAATAATATAGAATTAAAAGCAGATTTTAGCAAATAAATCTACTTAACAATAAAAATATTTCCTAAAAATAAGTTCATAACTGGTTCAGGATAAGTTTTTTCATATAAATAAATGAATTAAAAAATTATAATGAAAATTTTAGTAAACGTTCTTTGTATATAGATTCAAAATATTATATGAAATAATTATAACTTTTTCTAAATAAACTTTACAAAATTTCAATTATTACTGATATATTATCATCATTAAAAAATATAAACATCCTACAAAACCCAATTCATTACTATAAAGCTACACCAACTGCCGTATAATATCAGACTATATTTCGGCAATAACAACTTTGAATTACCAATTAATTTGTCCCTAGAGGGAGACGTTAGATGTTATGACAGTTGATGTAGCTTTATATCATTAAAAGAAATATGAAAGTTAGTAATAAAGCACAAATAGATTTATATGCACGTAAATAGTTAATATATTTTTGCACATGAGTACACAAGAAAAAATTATCTTGCGTTAATAAAGTAATTTATTTCTTATTGCTTATTTTAAAATATAACTTAAACAACTTACTAATTGAACATCAGGGTGCCACACTACAGGATTTTTAATTTCAGCAAATTCCAAACCTAAAAGTTCCTAAATATACAGTATTATTCAAAATTTATATGGCAACATAAGTAATAAAAATCATTTAAATAAAAAAATTTATACAGCTTTCTATGAATTTAAATATACATTTATTTATCATTAAATTCACTATCACAATCTCTAAAGATACATAACAAAGTAAACATTTTCTATATTCAATAACTAGTGTTATAATAGGAGCTTAAATTGAGTGAATATTTAAATTTTATCTAAAAATAAATAAATATATTTCTAATTTAAAAGTAATTTTAAAAATGTATATAATTTTAACTCCAACAGTTAAATTATATGTGCTAAATATTAATAAATATATAAATTAACTTTATTGCCATGAACTTTTTGTTTATATCAGCAGTTCCCACAAGGATTTTTATGTAAGTTAAAAAAATCTAATAGTTAAACAGATCATAAGTGTTGTATTATTATAGTGAATGCGAGAGTAATATATGAGGTAATATAATTGCATAATGTATAAAGCATAAATAATCTGTAAGAAGTATAAATTAGGTATATTTAAGAAATGAATGAAAACTGGATAGTGACTATAATCAAGAATTAGATATTATATAAATTTGTTAGAATATGTTCAATATTGTCATGCTTATCAACCAAAAAAGTTAAAAATATAGTTACTTATATAAAATATTAATTATAATCAAGAAGAATTTTTCTTCCTTACAATTTTTGTAGTGTATAAACCATGTAATGGAAACTGCTGATTAAGATAATCATTCTAGCTATTTCATTCAGTAAACATATATTTTTAAATAAAGTTTTCGTACTTGATAAATATTCAATAATCCTTTCGTTACTACAGGCAAAGGAAAGTAGTCACGTAATTTATTTTCATCAACAGAATATTTTATTTCTTTAACCATATTATTGTAATAGTGGAGTTCTGAAGGATGCAATTTGTCTTCAAAAGGAATGCCTAATTCATCACACTGTAATGTAAATTAAAATTCTCAGAAATATGCAAATTGCTATACACTATTCAAAAGATAGTTTGAATAGTAACAATAACATTTTATTTATATCATACATTTTAATCATACCTCCTTTTTCTTAAGTTCCAAAATAAATTTTCTCTCTTCTTTCCAAACAGGATCTAATTTTAATGCTAACTGAGTTAAAAAATTGTGTACAGTTTCTGCAGTTTTGGCCATTCTCAAATCTGTCACAAAAGCTGCATGATTAGGAAATCCAAGCAACACTGCTATCTAAAGGAAAAAATTTTATTAAATGTAAGTAACAATTTATTAAAATAATGTAAAACAAAATATTATAACCTCATGTCGCAATTCAGCCACTTTTTCTAAAATGACAGTGTTTTCATCAATACATCTAAATAATTTTAAAATATAGTCAATTATTAATAATATAATTAAAATTAATCTTTTTTTTTAAATAAGCATAATAATAGTATAATATTTACCTTGCATTGAATGCATATTCTAGTTTTCTTCTTGTTTCAGGATTTTTTGCTTTACGCATAATTGGAAAATAATGAGGATATTTCAAGGTAACTTTTCGTTTACCTGTTTCACTCTAGAATAAAAATTAAATTATAATTGTGAAATTGATCAAATAATAAACTATAGTTTAATCAACGTTAACTTAATTCTCCAATTAAATAAAAAAAATTATTAAAAATTCAATCATACACTATATTAAATTTAGGTTGTAGAAAGATATTCGTACTATATATTTACTTAGAGTTCTATGAAATGTCATTAGATTGCAAGAGAATGCAATATGCAATACCCAAGGATGCTCAGACAAATGTAAATTAGCATACCGTTTATTATTGTAAAGTGATATTAAGCTGTATGCTGCAAACATGTGAAGAGGAGCAACATTTGATTACACTACTGTTTTAATTTGATATAAATTATATTTTCTGTAATTACATAAATTTCAGAGATTTTAGAAAAATATCACTTATAGCAGGCTATAAAGAAAAAAGTTTATAGACTTGGCAACATAACGAGCAAGCCATGCTTGTTACTGTTCTATGCATCACAAACCAACACTGAAATCTTGGACATTTATTTACTATAGAGAATCAAGGAATAACATTGAAAGCTCCTTGTTCCTTGTACCACTGTTATAAATATATGCATGGATTGAATGCACTTTTTTTTACACAAGGCAGTTACTAATTTGTTGTCAATGCTTAAAAAAGGGACAGAATAAGAGTATTAACTGGGCAAACTTTGTACGTGAAGAATGACTCCTAAAAGATGTTTTGTTAAAGTCTCTAGTGGAAAACAAACATTCCACATTATTTTAAATTAAAGTGTAGCATTCCTCAAAGTTTGATAAGCTGTGTTCTTTTTACACAAAAGTTTAAGCTTTCTAGTTGTGTCCCCTACACAAGGAGGAATTTGATCTTGTGGTGAGTTCTATAGGAAAACTATATAAACCCAGGACTTTGTGCACAGCCAAAGAGAAAATGAGGAAAATTTTATTAAACCTTTTAATCAATTGTACTTTTAACTATTCTTTTAACTACTCTTTTTTACTTGTGTTACCACTGGTTTCTTTTTTTTTCTAAATATGTTATTTAAGAGAAAAACAGGATCATCATATTACCTTAATTAGTATACTATGTACAATTAAACTTTATACTTGTGCATTAAAAAACCGGTTGGTCTTTTCTTCTAAAATCTGTTAATTCAGAAGTACAGTACATATGCTTTTTTGGGGTAACAATTATCATTAAGAGTAGGATCATCATATCTTTATATATTTGCCAGAATTTTCTGCCTATAGTCATCTACATGAACTGATTGGATTGATGAGTGACTGTAGAGTCCAAAATGCATTTTCAAAGTTAATAAAAGCGTATATATTTTTGGATCTGATTTCTGACTCCATTTTAATTGCTTGATCTACAAGGTTTGGTAAGTCTGGAAAAATTGGCCAAATTTAGGCCCCATTAAGAGATATTAATCACAGAAAAGAAGTAAAAACATTTAGGATATCTTTGTTGTTTGATAAAATATGCGGTAATGAAAGAGACAGCAAAGCAGATAAAAAAAATAAACAAAGAAAACAATTTAGCAATTTTTAAAAAAACCATTCTTAATAAAATGTATGGATAACTTCTTGTAAGATCTTTTTGGACACAATACACGATGATGTTGGGAAAAAGTAACACAAAAATTTTTCCTTACATATTCAAACTTGGGATATCATGCCAATAACAAAACATGCCCTATTATGTTAAACTCATTGTTTAGGAACATAGTAGTTTGTTAAATAATAATTCTTGCAGACATGTGAACTTTCTGATCATTCTTCGTGTTTGTGCTTATTAACATCCAATTCAAAACTTTAAATTCAATTTCTACTATATGTGGTGTATGCTTATTTCATTCTGCTTGAGTTATGCAAGTTATTTCGTATACGTCAGTCTGATTTTTAAGGATAAAATATATAAAAGATTCTATAAATTTACGATATAATTGAAATATTTGTTTTAAATGGAATATAAAAAGTTAGAACAAACAAATTTAATTACAGTACTCTCAAACTTTTATCCACCTTCAGGAAATGCTTTATCATGGTAACAGCACACTATATTCTAAATATTGAGTGCTGTTACCATGATAATGCATTATGATGGATATGCTGGACCCTGTTCTTTACCATACAACCATCCCTAATGTGGGCTTGGCTGAACCCATAATAGACATGAAAACAAATGCCTACAGAGTGAGAAAAGAATAATAATAATAATAATAATAAAAAGCACATGCATGAAAATAAAATATTAAATGCAATGTGACAAAAAACTAATGATAAAAAAAATCTAAGAAAATATTTCTAGCATCTTTTGTAAGAAATGAAGAAAAGCATGCTGCTGCTTAATGATATTTTAAATAATGTTAAAAGCTATTTTTACTTTAATATATATACTTTTCTTTAAATTTAAAACTAGAATTAAATTCCATAGCTTTTTATTTTAAATAACAATTTATCAATAACAAAAACATATACTCTAAGTTTTTTCAAAATATGATTACATGCATTGTGAATTTTTAAATTAGGATATTAAGAGAGTTATTTCAACTAATTAACAATTTGATAAATCACAATACTATATATTATTTTTATAAACTGCAAATAAAAAAAAAATATCAGTTTTTCTAAAATTTAATGTTATGAAGTAATAAATGTCATACTTTTGTTAAATTTTGAATAAAATCTGCAGGCAATCCATTTAATTCTTCATCTGAAAATTCTAAAACTGTATTTTCTTCATTCACATTTTTGGAAAACTGAATACAAAGATTATTTATTTCAGATTTTAATGATTTTATCTTTTCTTGAATTGTTGGTGATAAATGTAATCCTAGTAAAATAATGAACTAGATTAGTAAAATTAAAAAAAAAAATATATATATATATACTAATAACACTTTCCTGGTTTTTGCCTTTTTCAAAATCTTTCATACTTTATTTAGAAACAAAAATATTTAAAGTATTGGATTTTAAAAACTTCATATAAATCATCATAATCTTCTGGCAAATTGTTAAAAAGACAGCAAGTTCATTCTACTTTCCGTTAACTATAGTAAAGGTCAGACATGTTGCCTTTTTGTAAGAATATGTAAACCAATGTTAAATATTCTTACGAAATAGGAAAGTAAACACAACATTAGTTATTTTTTCTGAATAAAAATTAATCTGAATCATTTACTGAAACTGTTAGTTAAGAAAATAGGTCTAGCAGTGTCTACACACACCAATAAGCATAATAATATAATTCTAATACATTTATCAATATTATTTATAATTTTTGACATATAATTTTATTATTGTAAGATTCTTTCCTGTGCACTTTTTAAACATTGATAAATATAACCTGTTATTTTTTCCATATAAAGTTATGTATTAAATAATTTAACTTACTTTTATAACCACTTAAGAGATTTTTCAGACAAATAAACTGAAATGTTATGTCCTTTGAATCCGACGTCAAGTTCAAGAATTACTCAAAAGACAATTAATTCTCAGATATTTTATTTAAATGCATTTTGCATCAGGATTCTCGCCAATCCCTCTTCAGTAAAGGTACAGTCTGCAATAGAGCCTACATCAATATTTCAAACTCTTCGAAATTAATCCCAGTAACAATAACACACTGAGAATTCTTAAACTTGAGTGACTATCGAATTCAAAGGATATAGTATTTCAGATTTTGTCCAAAAAATCCCTTTTAAGTAGTTATAAAAGTGAGTGATTATATCTGGAAAATATTGCTAATATTAGCTTTATATTAAATAATTTAACATTAAATGCAAATAATCACGTATATATTTTATGTAATAATGTTATAATCTTAATAAGTTTTAATTTTAATTGCAACTGTTATTAATTTATATTCAAATCTATAAAATGTTGGTAATAAAAAGAATTGTTTTTGCTAATATAATGACAAATGTTTGTGGATGGGACATTGCCAACAAGATAATATTCTTAGACAACGCAACTTTTCATCTTGAAGGCTGTATTATTAAGTGAAATGTTTAATCTTGGGAAACATCAAATTCACAAGTCACTGTGTCCAAATCATTGCATCCAGTGAAGATCACAGCATGGACAGCAATTACATTGAGTGCTATATACTTAAATTTCATTGAGACTCAGACTCTGTATATAAAAAAGTTTCTTGGAGACCAAATTTTTCCCTTGAGCAAAGAAATTATTTTGTCTGGAAATACAACTTCATGCAAAATGGTGCTATTCCCCACCACACATTTTGGGTTGAAATCCAGTAACACAATCTTGGATATCAAAATTGTGTTATTGGATTAGTTAACCCAAAATTTGTGTTAGTGGGATTGAATGGCCTCCTTACAACCCTAATCTAAACCTTTGTGTCTTTCTTTATATCAAACATAATTGTTACAAGGAAAGACCAAAGAATGCAGAACAATTAAAGATTGCAATTAAAAAGGTTATTAAGATTATCAAAAGTGATATACTAGATAGGGTTTTTTCAGGAGTTTGAAAAACTTTAATTTTGTGCTGAATCAGATGGGGCACTTTGAAAATACTACCATTAAAATGAATTTAATACTGTGTAATGTTCCTTGGTGTGATTAAAAGCCATTCATTCATTAAAAAAAATTATAGCACTTTACTTTTGACATATTATTTGTCATCCTGTATTTAAATTAGCAATGGCAAAGCTGATTAACCACTGTAGTTAATCTAATTCAGCAAGCTTTTGAAAAGTGTATATTTTTATAAATTCCATTTTTTATCTGTCTTTTACCGAGAATGGCCCATTAACCAGGACAAAAACATTAGCATTTCTCCACAATTACCTACTATTAAAAGTGGGTTTCTTAAATTATTAATTAACATAAAAATTATAAACAAAACTAAATAACAATTCAATAATATAATAGACTCACAAAAACCTTTAAGTGACCAGTAAAATATTTAATTTAAAAAACAACAAACTCCCAGGCTCTTTGCGTTTGCCAAAACACACAAGGATATACCTTCATTGAGACCGATCCTTGACAAGGCATAATACCCCCTAGATCATTAGACACGGCTATACACAAGCATATAGAACATAGCTTAAACAATTATCCATGGACAGTCAGGAACTCGGTAGAGTTATTGGAGGCTTTGAGACTGCATAGTATTAATGATCGAACATACATCACCGTGCTAGATTTTGTTTCATTATACCCTTGTATAAAAATCCAGCCATGCTTTTGTGCATGGCTGGATTTTTATACAAGGCATTAAGGAATGGCATTAGGGACCTCTTACTAACTTCACATGCAGTGTACCGTAAACAAGTATTGGAACTTGTCCACCTGTTATGCTACACGTCATTTTTTCAGTTCAACAACAAAACTTACCTCCAGAAGCGCGGTGTCCCTATGGGCAGCCCACTTTCAGGAGATTTGTGAGAGTTAGTGGTTAGACAACTAGAACAAAGTATCATAGCTATGTATGTTTCTAACATACTTATTTATAAAAGATATGTTGATGACATCTTTATTATGTGGAATGCTAAGCCTGATATAAATAACTTCATTGATGCAATGAATAATAACCCGCATGGCTTCTGCATCAAATTGGACCAAATAAGCAATTCAAATGCAACCTTCCTTGATACCAATATACAATTGGATGGCAACAGGATATCGACCAAGGTCCATTAAAAGCCATGCTACACGCCTCTATTCATCCCTGCCAATTCTGATGACCCCCTTTTCGTACAAAGTAGCAGAATTCTGGGCCCTAACCAAAAGAGCATTCACACACACCACTCAAAATTTGAGGATACAATGGCAGAATTACAACACATCCAGAACATAGCTGCACGACACAGATATGGGCAAAAATTAATTCAGAACCTTGCATTTGCCTATTCATCGCAAGTATATAATAATGGCAACGATAACTCACACATGAACAATTCTAATAATTCTGTCTTTGGCTGTGGTTGAATATAACCACCACCTTGATCCTATTTACAGAGATATTGCTGCATGTACAAACAAGTGAATTGCATATAAGAGGCATAGTACTATTTATGACATTCTGCGCAACTGCAAAGACGACATAGACAAAAGATTTGCTCCAGGGGTATATTCTGTCCCATTAAGGGACCATAGATTTCAAAGGGACCTGGTGTATACTGGCTCCATGATATGCTCTCTCAATAAGAGTATACGCAAACACAAATATGACATTGATCATAACAGATGCACCACTGTCCTATCTACTTATGCTTCAACCCTGGGCATAAGAGCCGACTTGCATAACTCCCAAATCATTAAACTAACACACAGAAGGGAACACATACGAACTCTAGAAACTCAGGAAATATATAAAGCAGGGTTACACAATAACTGCATCAACTATAAGGATGCGATTAATACTTCTACAGCTTGGAAGTTTGTTTATGAAGGGGAAGACTCCGACAATTCTATTTAAGGTGTAAAATAATATTTTCATGTGAGTGTAAAATAATATTTTTATATATTTTTGTTTATGCAATGCTTGATATGCATGCACATAATGAATTTTATATGCAAAGTTGGATATGTTCCAAAACGTTCTAAAAATTTTAAATCTTTAAGCACAATGGCTTTTTGAATCTCGGAACTTTTAACCTGAAGAAGGCTGAAAAATACGGTCGAAAATGTCTGTTGTTTTCTCTATTAAATATTTTACTGGTCACTTAAAGGTTTTTGTGAGTCTATTATATATATTGTACCAGTACCTGGTAATGAGTAACCTTTACACAAGGAATTCAATAATAATAGCAGGTGTTAATATTTTCCAAATATACTGCTGGGAATTACAGTATCAATCTAACCAGGAAAGTGTTAAAAACAAAATAATCATATTTTTCATATGATAAATATCATAAAATATAATTCTATATTTCTTCTTTACCAATGAAATTACAGTGAGTGACAAAAGTTAAAATTACCATGTCTCTTCCCATATTTTATCAATTTTTGTAGAAACCGACTATATTCTGAATCCAGTGCTTCATTCTTTGCTTCTAAAGAGAGTAGTTTCTCAAAGATATCTTGTCGCATACTTTAAATATACAAAATATTTAATTTAATAAATTTACACACAAATCTATTTTAATATTTCTCACCTTATTTCAACGTCAAATTCTTTTAATTTACGATTTGCTTCGTTACTCGCATCTCTAATTTCCTTATCGGTTGATACTTCTTTTGGAATTGTATACAAAGATCCCTCAGTTTGCATTTCACTTTCTGCATAAGCAATAGGCTAAAAAATAGTACCAATATTTTTTAAATGTATTGCATTCCAATGACAAAAGTATATATAATAATTTAGCTATAAATTTCTACTTTTATTTACAAATGTTGGAATTTCAACATTTGTAAATAAATGTTGAAATTTCAACTAAATATAACTATGGTATAAAAGAATATATCAGAATTATTTTTTATTCCTCATTAATTAAATAAAGTCTATCATATTGTCTTAAAATCATATAGGAATGGATATTTCAATTTACATTTATTTATGACATGTAATTAGAAGTAAAACAAAAAACTTCAGTAGAGAATATAATGAGAATTCTATATTAGTTTTTATTAAATATTTATTTAATGTGTTGATTTATTTTCAAGTTTTGTACTTTATTCCATTCTGTGATGTTGTAGTACTTTGTTTTTGCATAGCTTTATCCTCCATCCATGTGTTACATCGTGTAGTTTCTTATACAAGGTGTGAATTTAATTCCTGGAATGCACACCTTTAAGAAAAATATGCATGCAGAACAGTTCACTAATAGCTACTGTCATTTTCAAAATACTCTCCATTGGTGCCTTCTTTTATTCCTCCATGTAACTCCATGCAAGTGACATCCGTTTAAAAATTCCTGCAGAACGTGTTCCTAAATTCTGATTGGAGTGTGCGCTGTCGAACAGCAAAAACAGCCGCTTCTAGCAGTAGTTTACAGTGGAAAGCATCATGACGTCCTCCACAGCTCAGATAGTTTTGTTTAAGGGTCCATTATGTGATTTTATGAATGAAAATTTAGAAGTTGTGTAAGCACAAGTTAGTGCACGCTGTGTGTCTAGTAGAATTTTTTCCAATGGTAACCGACATTCTAATTTTTTTTTCATGGCTACTTTGAATGCTCAGTTGGCAAGATAATCCATTTTATGGTAAATTTTACAATTGAGACCCTTCTTTTGTCTTTGTTTTTATGCATATTTTAAAATCATAGACCCTTCTATTACAATATTATCTATAATACGGCATTGCCATCTTTCTTTCTTTCACACCGTTCCTAAATGCCTACAAACAGCAGCGCACTCCTGTTACAAACAGCAGTAACAAAGACGCAAAACAACCGCTATTAATGAATACACCCCTTGTGCATCTAAACACTGACTTAAATGGAATTCCCATTACCAGAAGCTGGGCAGGAAATTGTTTTCTGGAACACTGTTGAACAGCTGTCTCACATTCTGTTGGATATCAGTTATATTAGAAAATCTTCATCCTTTCGGCAAGGCAATTTTGAAAACAGCCAAAAATCACACGGAGCTAAGTCAGGTGAACAGGCAGGACAATCTAATTGGGTAATCATTTTTTGGGTAGAAAATGTCTCACAGTGAGTGACTTGGTGCATTGTCATGATAAATGATCCACTTGTAAGACCATAGTTTGGGTCTTTTTCTTCAAACAAATTCTTGTAATCTCTGCAGTACTTCTAAATAAAGTTGATGGTTAACTGTTTGTCCCTATTCAATAAATTCTTTAATTGAACAAGAACAAACAACAATTCTTGTGATTGAAGAAACACACCAGCATGGTCTTAAACTGTGAGCATGACATGTGTGCCTTTTTAGGGTGTGGTAAACTCTGGATTTCCACTGCATAATCTGACATTTTGTTTCTGGGTCGTACTGTAACATTTCAGTAGGACATTTGCTGATTTTCACCCAAAATTTAATATTATATATTGCTCATTTTATGCCAAAGAATAGATACAGATAACTGTTATCTTCCCAATTAATTAACAACTAACTCTATCATTTTGTTCATTTAAATATAGTTTTCTTTCATTCAAACTTACCAGTGTTCATTTCACCATTTTATCTTGCCTTACACCATTCTTAACATGTGTACCTTTGCAGTTTTCAAGAATTTATTGATAATGTTAATGAGGAGTTGCTGTATAGGACTATCAAAATGGGGTGAGCTGGGAATTTTCCCCATGGACCTAGAGAAAACTTAAGAACCCACAGTGATTCCTACCTTATAAATTAATGTATTTTACATCTTTCATTGTTCAAAAACAAAAAAAAATAAAAAATACTGGAAAGGACCTGCTAAGGAGCAAATAGGGCTCACTCTACCTCTGGGCTCCATATAAAAAATGCAAATATAGCAACTGCAGCCTTTCAAACTAATTTTTATAGGCTAAAATTAAAAGTCGTATGTCAAATTATCTTATTCCAGCAAATTCGGACACACATCAATGCAGGAACTGCCCAATTTTATTCAATTTGCACCTCTAAGTTTCATGTTCATTTACATTTTTCTCTTCTACACGAACATAGAGTCCTATACACAAAAACTGGAGCATTTACAATTACTCCTCACCCTATTAAATTTACTCCACAGATGGGCTAAATGTAAGATGACCAGATTTTAACATTGATGAAGTGGGACAAAATTGGTGGGAGGAGTGGTTGTCTTATTAAAAAAAATTGTTCTCAAGCAACAAAATTTTATCATCAAAGAATGCAAAAATTGTATTATATTATATTATTTTAAATTTCAACATATATATATATATATATATAGGTANAATCCGGATCAGAATTCAGTTCACTGACATAATATAATTCGCCAAATAGTAAATTATATTACAGACAGACTTTTGTTTTGATGTTTTATCGTGTTTATAAAATTTGCAAGAAATATATATATATATATATATATTTATTATATTTGTAAATTTTACATATATACTATAATAAATCTTTAAAATCTCCTTATTCTTTTGCATATTTCTCAGTCAAGTTAATTTTTTTAATACATTGCTGTCGTCGTTTAAAATGTCGTGAAATTTTTTGCAAGAACTTGTTAAATTGTATTTCACACGTAATATGACTTTCAAAGTCTCAACATTTAATTGTGATTTATCAGATGTCCACACTTTATTTACAGTATAAAAAATGCGTTCAGTCTCGGCATTAAGGACAGAGCGTATTCCACATTTTTACAGCATTATTGTATGGAACAGTTTGTTTCAAAATGATGAAATATTTCTAACCATTTGTTCTGTATTGAAATTTTTGCCGATGTTCAAGATTTAATCTTTTCCATATCAATATAATTTTTTAAAATAATGATCACTCATTAAAAAGATTATTTTTGGAAATATTACTATCTGGAAAATGTTGACTAATGTGATTGAATGCTTTTTGCACCTCTTCTAAATAATCTAAACAGTTACTATAAAACTTTTTGACGTGATTCATGAAATCTGCATGATTTATTGCATCTTGTTCTTCTGACTTATACTATTACAGATGGTTAATGGAAGAAAATTATTTTCTAACTGCTCTTGACACTGAAATTTAAAATTTTTAATTTTGTTTGCTACTTTGATTATTGAAATTTTGTCACCTCCAATAAATTTTACAGTACAGGTATATCTCGCCTTACGTTGGTAATTGGTTCCAGGAGGGGCAACGTAAGTCGAATTTACTTGTCTCCGAATCTACTTGTCACTAGGCTAAACCATAAATTACCATTCCTGGTTCTGTATTTTATTTATTAATGCATTTTTAATAATATATGGTTAATAAGAATCTATTTTAAGCTTACAAACAAATAAATTTTAGTTTTTAATATAGTACAGAAAAAAGTAATCTAAATTTATGAATGCAGGTATTGTAAATACAGTACATACTTGTAAATGTATATATTTTAATATGATTTTATGTGCTTTAAACATTTTTGTAGTGATATTACGACTTCAATATTTGTGGCGGACGGACGTAAAGTCGAATAAAATAACTTAAACTTGATTTTTATTTTTCCATATACTTTTTTGACAAACGATGTATAATTGGGAACGATGTAAGTCGAGGTATACCTGTAGTTTGAAAAAAAGCTGTTTGATTGCATACAAACTCTAGCCAAATTTTCAAACATTCATTCAAAAAACTCTAAAATTCTAGGACATTTACCCTGTGAAAGAAAATAGGATCTCAAAGGATCATATATTTTCAAAATTTGTTTAATAGCTGGCAAAATATCTAACCAGTGCATTTTACTACATACAAGTATTTTTTGATATTCACCTTTAGAAGTTTCACAAAATTCTTTAAGGCAAACAACACACACAGTGTATATATAGAAATATGAATACTGTATACTTTAATAATAATATTTTCCACATCTATGGGTAACAAGTCTGCAGCTGTTTGAAAGCGATATGTATTATGTGCGCTGCACAACAAACACCAATAATGTCTTGTTTAAGGTTTTCGTTTAATTTATAAAAAATATTATTTGTACTTCTTGCTTTTCTTCTAACGCACACCTTGGTACTGATACGTGTGATACAAAATGATCTTTACGAATCTTAAACATAAGACGTAAGTTTATGACACATAAAGGATAGACATTTACCAAAAGTGGGGCGTCTGGTCACCTTAGGTAAATGTAATAGAAAATTATTATCATCTCTACTAATACAGGATGGTAGAGATAACAGCAGATTAGTATTAATGTGGCAATAAAGCCATTAAAAAAGGGAATAAACAGCTGTACTTTAAGTTAATATAAATAGTGTAAATCAATACAATTTAACCGGGTAATGGTTGCATAGGCATAGATTTTTACCTTGAGGACAGTTTGGCAGCTGAGATTATCATGGGCGAGAGCACCAACCTGGTCATATATTTTACGTATTCTTACGATTAATTCATCAGTTCTCTTTAGTATTTCTTCCGAATTTAATTTAAAATCGTATTGAAATTTGAATCCCGGAAGATCCATGCTAATTCTATGAAAACGAGAGAAACCAACTAGAAATAAAGATCTTCTCGATAAAAAATTTCCACAGGCCACTACCGGAAGTCTCAGCATGGACTGTTCGACTGATTATCGGGTTGCCAGCTGATTGAAAATCACGTTGCCAAATCTTTCTCTATTTTCCTTTAAAAAAATATTTTAAAATAATACAATTTTTACGTTAGAAAACTTATCATCCGTGATTATATTATTTTAATTTAATTATAAAATAACAGTAATAAATATTTTTAAAAAATCTTAAAGCAGGAATGAGGAGTCGGAGGAAAAATACACGATTCCCGACTCTCATAAAAAGGTTCGAATCCGATTCTATCCCTGGCCTTAAGAAGGCGATTTTTATTTGGTCCGTTATGGAGTGGTGGAGTGAGGATCGCAGCTTAATTTTATTCCCTGTTTAAATATTGAAGAAGTAAAAAAAACCCGGAAAACTATGTGACAAGCCCGTTGGTGAGGCCCGAACCCGCGATCGACTACCATTGTTGAATGGTTGTATCCACTCGGTTGATGGGCATTTACTCATTTGGAGTAATACATGGCTCCAACATGACTTTCCATACAGTTCTATTTTGTGCAATTTGCTTAATATTTCCGAAACTCTTTCTGAATATAGGTTATTTTAAGGCACAATACCAGCTCCAAATGATGCGATTGGGACTTTAACAGAGCTGTAGAGCATATTGTTCTGGAACGTTTAAAAGCTGTAATAGATTAGAATACAGATAGGTATAACGTATAGAATTTCATGATTTAGAATTTATATTCAGTTTTTATTATAAAATTAATTTGTTCTTAACTTTTTAACTCGTAACGTTTCTCTTTTTCTATCCTAAAGATACTAAAATAGTATTTTTCAAAGCGTGGTGGCGGTTGGTGAGTGATAGACTCGATACATCAGAATCGATCAACTCATAGTGATTTCTCAGTCGATCCGAACTCTAATGCCCACTAGTGTCCGATTGGATAACACCAATGAACACTGGTAGTTGATTCGCGCTTGATCAAAGGGATCTCCAGATGGAATTTTCGGATTTACTTCACGTATTAAACATCCAAATTGGGGCAAGTTTTCCATAGAAAGTTCTCCCGGAAGGCATTCCTCCTTGGAAGATTGCGCATTCGTATATAGTTAATCGGGGCCTCCGCCCCTAAGGTTTCCATATCTGGTCTTGTCTTTATCGAACTCTGTTCTCAGAGAGCGTTTTCTTTTTTATAAAAAACTTCCGAACTTTTTTGTCGATCTTGATCAGAAATAATATCAGCAACATCTTTAATTTAATTTGTTATTTATGAAGAAATAAAAATATGTTATTAGTCAAAAATTTGCTCCAGTGGATCGCGTTTGTTCAATCGACGATCGAGCGATTTTTTTCCAGAATCTGTGTTCGAATACCGAATTATTCGAGTTGGGAGCAATTCGAGTACCGAGATACCGCCGTATTTCGTTCGTCATTTTTACGAATGATTACTTAACTAAGGTTAAAGTAAATCTGACAAAAGGCACCAAACAAATTGAAAATTTTAATATTGTAAAATCTATGGGAAAGTTTGAAATAACACGCATGCTTACTTGAATAAAAAATATCGAATAAAGAAGTTTGCACTTAAAAATTGTGAAATTTTGTACGGGGTATTTCCCCTATTTTCCAACCGTGTTGTAGAAGTGCCGTTTTGTACGAGGGATAGGCTACATGTATCTGACTTTAAAATAGTTTACGAAATCATATTATTTTGAATGCCCCGAATGCTTTGGTTTGATGTTATACAGCAATGCAACACGCGGCATTTTCCAAGTGGGATACTCTGGGAAGACTTTCTATGAAAACTGGTCTCTATTTAAATGTAAAATATGCGAAAAAAGCCACAAAATTCCATGTGGCAAGTCTATCGGTGAGACGTAAACCGAGATCTCAGTGAACTCGCATGACTTCACGTTCAGTGGTTATTTCACCGGCCACTGGTGGGCACAGAGCCGGCCCTACCATAGGGCGAACAGAGCAGCCGCTCCAGGCGCTAAGTCCTAGAGGGCGCCTCAGTGGTAAAGAAAATTAAAGGGTATAAATTCGGGGCAACCAAGGGGGGCGTCATAATAGGATCTCGCTGCATCCTAAAACTTGCCTCGGGCCGGCACTGGGTGGGCATACCACGAATGAGACTGTCAGATGGCCAAGGCAATTTAAAGTGAAATACCTTGAATCGAATCCAAGCGAGCAACCTCAGGAATTTTTTCTAAAATGGTTCGTCCCTCCCCACCAGCAGTTCCCATTGTAGATCTGGCCGAATCCATGATGGGGATGGAAAAAAGTGGCTTTCTTATTGCATACGGGACAAAAAAGAGTTTTAAAAATATCATGAATGAAAAATACAACCTAAATTTATATTGCGTAGTCGCTTATCCTCCGAAGAGCCGGTTGAAGCTTTTTGCATGACCATAAGAAATAACTCTTGAAGAGCCGAAGGAAATGCCTTCCGGGAGGACTTTTAAGGGTAATTTGTCCCTATTTAGGCGTTAGAGACGTGGAGAAACACCGGAAAACTCTACGTTGCCTGTTTGTCCTGGCAAGATGCGAGCCCACGGCTGAACTACCAGTGTTAAGGGGAACGGAATCGCTATTAAAAAGTTACGTGTGATATAGCATATTTTTATATAATTTATTTTTACAAGTGGTGTGGTATTTTACAACTTTATTTTTGAAAAGTTTCTTATAATAATAATAAAAAAACAAGAAAATTTTATGCATTATTTAAAAATTAAACAATCAACAATAAAAATGGGGAAAGTAACAATTGAAAATATGCAGAAAAACATTTATTAATTGCCAATTAATGCGGAAATTTCAACAGAGAAATTAAATAGAAATAACCGATTTCCGATTATATTAGTACAAGAGATATTATGATATGGCAGAAAACAAATCATCAGATGAACCCAATTTTCAGAATCAAAATAAACAGAATCCTACACCTTCCAATGAACAATTACATCTCGAAGTCACTGGTACTATAGTTGGAATAACTTATAAAGATGGAGTCATCTTAGGAGCAGACACAACAAATGTCAATAGAACAACAGTAAAAAATAAAATTTGTTCCAAAATGAATTATTTGAATCCTAACATTCAATGCTGCGGATCAGGTATTAGAGAAGATATTGAGGTTATCACAAGGATGATTTCATATCATGTAGAGATGTTACGACTAGAGACTGGAAAAACAGTACCAGTAGTTAGTGCTAATAATTTACTGAAACGAATTTTATATAATTATAATGGAAAATTGGGAGTTTCTTTCATTCTTGGTGGAGTTGATGATGAAGGACCGAGTATTTATGTAATAAACTTTGATGGATCATCTTTGAAAACATCATATGCCGCTTTGGGTAGTGGATCTTTATTTGCTCTTGAAACGTTGAAAAAGAAGTGGAAACCCGGCATTGAACTGGAAGAAGGAAAAAGATTAGTCAAAGAAACCATTATTTCCAGTATTTCGAATAATAAACATTCAGGAATAAGAATTGATTTGTGTATTATAACAAAAGAAGGAACTCAGTATTTCCGTCCGTACGATTTGACCTAAAAAAGAACTAATTAATTCCACAAGAATTGCATTAAATTACGATATTTTTAAATTTTTAATAGATGTATGAATATAATTAAAATTTATTTAGATAATTATCAGTGCTACAATTTTTACATGTTTATTTCTACATGCAATGGGGAGGATGGTGAGCAACGAGGCCCGAAATATTCTGATGGATAACCCCGAAATATTCCTATGGTTTTTTGAACTGTCCGGATTCTATCCCGGTCCCCCAGAGTGGTAGACTGCATTTTAACCGTTCGGCCATGTTCACCCTGTTTGAAGCTTAATAACTCTTGTGATTTTTGTCGAAAATTTCTGAAATTTTGCAGGAAGGTTTGTGTATTAGGGGCATTGATGCCATTAAATTTTAGTACCTAAAGGTCGAGGGATTGGGGAGATAACGGGGGTCGTGTAGTATATTTATATTATAAAAATAATATAAATATCCTTGATATTTTAGTTAAAAAAATATTATTATATAATTTATTTTAGTTATTTTTATCACAAAATTATTATAATATATTCATGTTTATTCTATTATAATTTTACGGGAATTAGTGACAATATTATTATGAAGACATTACTTATGCTAAACAATTCATCATTTTGCCTGTCATGAATGATTAACTTATTCTATATAATCTATATTCATAATGCTATTAATATTTAATAAATCATCAATAATAATTACAAATAAAATTAAATTCCGAATGATTATTAGAATAATTGATTTTTCATTGATTAATTATGATTTTTTTAAGCTTTAATCTTTAACTTTTAACGTTTTATAAATACATTTATTTTATTATGTTAACAGTTACTAATAACTGAATATTAAATATTTTATAAAGAAAAATAGAATTATTGCAAAATATTCTTTAAATATTTAGTGTAATTTTTACCACTTCCTTTAATAGAAACTTTCATAATGATTCTTACGACAGTCGACTACGAAAAAACAAAAACACCCATTTCCTTCGTTTTAGGGTTGGTTTGGCATTGAGCCAGTCCCACCTGTTGCTCAGGTATGAACAGCAACAGGTAGAAATAACGTCATAAGCAGAGAGGCAACCATCATTGTCTGTCCTTCTCTGGAAAGTGAAAGCTTACTTGTGTTTATAATTTACACAACGAATCGATGGATAACAGGTAATTACATTTATTACCTTTACTTTTGAATATTTTGTTTCTTTATACATCTATTAATTAAGTAATACTATAGACGTGTAACTAAACTTATATACTGTATTTAATTAATAGAGACTTGTAATACTATTTTATAAAGCAAATCGATCAAATTTTACTTTAAAATTACTTTTATAATGCTTAATAAATCTAATAATGTAGAGGTAATTTTAAATTAACTTATTATTATTATAGAATAGCTTTATGTAGTAGAAAATTACTTAATTATATTTTTTCTTTTAGATTTCGAAAATACTATAAAATCAGTAGTTAATTTTATTACGGAAGGAAATGTCCATGTAACAATTTAAATTT